AACTATAACTTCCAGGGTGCCATTGCATTGAGCCATGGCAGTCAAAGTCATGTCTAGCATAGCTGCACTCCTTGGCAAACTATAACTTCCAGGGTGTAATTGCATCGAGCCATGCCAGCCATAGTCATGTCTAGTATAGATGCACTCCTTGGTAAACTATAATTTCCAGGATGCCATTGCACTGAGCCATAGCAGTCAAGTCATGTCTCATATAGATGCACTCCTTGGAAAACTGTAACTTCCAGGGTGCCATTGCACTGAACCATAGCAGCCAAAGTCATGTCTTGTAGAGATGCACTCCTTGGCAAACTATAACTTCCAGGGTGCCATTGCATTGCATCAAAATCATGTCTAGTATAGCTGCACTCCTTGGCAAACTATAACTTCCAGGATACCATTGCACTGAGCCTTAGCAGTCAAGTCATGTCTCATATAGATGCACTCCTTGGCAAACTATAACTTCCAGGACACCATTGCACTGAGCCATAGCAGTCAAGTCATGTCTCCTATAGCTGCACTCCTTGGCAAACTATAACTTCCAGGGTGTAATTGGATCGAGCTATGCCAGCCATAGTCATGTCTAGTATAGATGCACTCCTTGGCGAACTATAATTTCCAGAGTGTAATGGCAGTCATTGTCATGTCTAGTATAGATGCACTCCTTGGCAAACTATATCTTCCAGGGTGTAATTGCATTGAGCCATGGCAGCCATAGCCATGTCTAGTATAGCTGCACTCCTTGGCGAACTATAACTTCCAGGACGCCATTGCATTAAGCCATGCCACCCATAGTCATGTCTAGTATAGATGCACTCCTTGGCGAACTATAATTTCCAGAGTGTAATGGCAGTCATTGTCATGTCTAGTATAGATGCACTCCTTGGCAAACTATAACTTCCAGGGTGCCATTGCATGGAGCCATGGCAGCCATAGTCATGTCTAGTATAGATGCATCCCTTGGCAAACTATAATTTCTGAGCCATAGCAGTCAAAGTAATATCTTATAGAGATGCACCCCTTGGCAAACTAGATAGATAATTATAATATATCTTGAGAATATATATACAGGTTGTTGTGAGTTTTCCGAAATGTCTGGCCATGTTCCAGAAGCATTCTCTCCTGACATTTCGCCTGCATCTATGGCCGACATCCTCGTTCTCTCTCTATGTATATATATATATATATAGTATTTAGTTTGAAAGTTTATCCTAATTATAACGACAGTGGCAATGCTTTCAGCCGTTTGGTTCCCAAACCCTCTTAAGGACTAGCAGCTTAGGGATCCTTTTTAATATATACGGAATCAGTGCCACCGGAGAACCGAGCGCATGATGGCGGTTATATAAATAGCTCCGGAGCTCAAGCGCCGAAGACAAGGAGCCAAAATAGCAAAGCTGCTTAGGTCTGACTTAGCCGCAGAGGGAAGGAGGATCTCCCCGGTGCCGTCGCTTAGAGGATGGACGCCGCACACCAAGGCGCACGTCCCGCTCTCAAGACTTTGGCCTTCCTGCTTTCATGATTCTTGTTGAAAGGCCCCGGTTTCTCGCTCCTCCTTCCGCCTTTGTCCTCGGCCTGCTTCAAACGGAAACCAAAGGCCTTCCGGTGTATCTGCAAGCATTCGCTTGCCACGACTCAATGGAGTGGACTCCTCGGAGTTGTAGTTTGGAGCCCCTCGAACAGTGGTTCTCAACTTATGGGTCACCAGATGTTTTGGCCTTCAACTCCCAGAAGTCTGAAACTGGCTGGGATTTCTGGGAGCTGTAGTCCAAAACACTTGGGGACCCACAGGTTGAGAAGCACTGACTTAGACTAAAGTGAATGATATAAAACCAACAACTACTAAAGTGGATGATATAACAACAACCACAACAACAACAGCAACTAAAATGGATGATATAACAACCACCACCACCACAACAGCAACAACAACAACTAAAGTGGATGATATAACAACAACAATAGCTATAGTGGATGATATAACTACTACTACTACTACTACTAGTGTGGATAATATAACAACAACACCAACAACAACTAAAGTGGATGATATAACAACAACAACTACTAACATGGATGATATAGCAACTACAACTACTACAAAAGTGAATGATATAAAACCAACAACAACAACTAAAGTGGATGATATAACAACCACCACCATCACCACAACTACTAAAGTGGATGATGTAACAACAACAACAACTAAAGTGTGTGATATAACAACAACAACTAACATGGATGATATAACAACAACCACCACCACCACAACTACTAAAGTGGATGATATAACAACAACTAAAGTGTGTGATATAACAACAACAACAACTAAAGTGATTGATATAAAATCAACAACAACTAAAGTGAATGATATAACAACAACCACCACCACAACAACAACTAAAGTGAGTAATATAACAACAACCACAACAACAACCACAACAACAACTAAAGTGGATGATACAACAACAACCACTAAAGTGGGTGATATAACAGCAATCACAACAACTAAAGTGAATGATATAACAACAACCACAACAACCACAACTAACGTGGATGATATAACAACTACAACTACTACTAAAGTGAATGATATAAAACCAACAACAACTAAAGTGGATGATATAACAACAACAACAACTAAAGTGGATGATATAACAACAACCACAACAACCACAACTAACGTGGATGATATAACAACTACAACTACTACTAAAGTGAATGATATAAAATCAACAACAACTAAAGTGAATGATATAAAACCAACAACAACTAAAGTGGATGATATAACAACAACCACCACCACAACAACAACTAAAGTGAGTGATATAACAACAACCACAACAACAACCACAACAACAACTAAAGTGGATGATACAACAACAACCACTAAAGTGGGTGATATAACAGCAATCACAACAACTAAAGTGAATGATATCACAACAACCACAACAACCACAACTAACGTGGATGATATAACAACTACAACTACTACTAAAGTGAATGATATAAAACCAACAACAACTATAGTGGATGATATAACAACCACCACAACAACAACAACTAAAGTGGATGATATAACAACAACAACTACTACTATAGTGGGTGATATAACAACAATAACTAAAGTGGATGATATAACAACAACCACAACTAAAGTGGGTGATAAAAATATCATCACCATCATCATCAAACTTAGAATGAATGCAGTTTGGCACCACTTGAACTGACATGGCGCCATGCAGTGAAATCCTGGGAGTTGCAGTTTGGTACACCTAGACTAAAGTGGATGATGTAATGATAATAATAGTAATAATAGTAATAATAATAACAGTGGTTGAATACAGTTTGATACCACTTGAACTGACATGACACTGTGCAATGGAATCCTGGGAGTTGTAGTTTGGTGCACCTAGATTAAAGTGGATGATATAAATATAACAACAATACTTACTTACTTAGGCGATCCCTCGTTGGACAAGTAAGATGGTCTTCCTTGATGACTACTTTTGTGGGTTTGTAGGTGGCTGTGGAGCCCTATTCTTGACCCGCATCTTCTCCCACAGTGAGGGCATTGGTTTCCAGGTGGAAGGCGGTCCCGGTCGGGGTTGGCTTGACGCGCCTTCCTCCTGGCATGTTTCTCTCTTTCACCCTCCACTCGTGCCTCCTCGAATTCTACAGCACTGCTGGTCACAGCTGACCTCCATCTGGAGTGCTCAAGGGCCAGGGCTTCCCAGTTCTCAGTGTCTATGCCAGAGTTTTTAAGGTTGGCTTTGAGGCCATCTTTCAATCTCTTTTCCTGCCCACCAACGTTCCGTTTTCCGTTCTTGAGTTCGGAGTAGAGCAACTGCTTTGGGAGACGGTGGTCGGGCATCCGGACAACGTGGCCGGCCCAGCGGAGTTGATGGCAGAGGACCATCGCTTCAATGTTGGTGGTCTTTGCTTCTTCCAGCACACTGACGTTTGTCCGCTTGTCTTCCCAAGAGATTTGCAGGATTTTCCGGAGGCAGCGCTGATGGAATCGTTCCAGGAGTTGCATGTGACGTCTGTAGACAGTCCACGTTTCGCAGGCATATAGCAGGGTTGGGAGGACAATAGCTTTATAGACAAGCACCTTGGTATCCCTACGGATGTCCCGGTCCTCAAACACTCTCTGCTTCATTCGGAAAATGCTGCACTCGCAGAGCTCGGGCAGTGTTGTATTTCGGTGTCGATGTTGACTTTGGTGGAGAGGTGGCTGCCAAGGGAGTGGAAATGGTCCACATTTTCTAATGTTACACCATGAAGTTGTATCTCTGGCATTGGAGAGGGGTTGGCTGGTGACTCCTGGAACAGCAGTTTGGTTTTCTCAATGTTCAGTGACAGGCCGAGCTTCGTGTATGCTTCTGCAAAGGTGTTTAGAGTGGCTTGTAGATCTTCTTCTGAATGCGCACAGACCACGTTGTCATCAGCATACTGGAGTTCTATAACAGATGTTGTTGTGACCTTGGTTTTGGCTTTCAGTCCGCTGAGGTTGAATAGCTTGCCATCTGTCCGATAGATGATTTCCACTCTGGTGGGAAGCTTCCCCTCAACAAGGTGAAGTATCATAGCGATGAAGATGGAGAATAAAGTTGGGGCAAGAACACATCCCTGTTTGACACCCGATAACAACAATAACAACAACACTAATAATAATAGTATGAATGCAGTATGACAGCACTTGAACTGGCATGGCGCCATGCAATGGAATCTTGGGAGTTGTAGTTTGGGGCATCTAGAGTTGTTCTTACCCCGCTTCGAGTTTCTTTAACTAGATGCTGAAAACCGGTTGTTCTTTGGCGCCCTCTTGTGGCGAAAAGGCAGACCTGCAGCATTTGCATTTCTCCCTTTGTATCCTATACTTTCCCCTCCTCCTATTGGGTTGGTTTATTTCTTTGTTTGTTTATATGAATTATTAATACTATTTTATTATTTACTTATATGTACTAACGTACTAAACTCTCCTATCTTCTTTCTTGCAGGCTCAGTGGCTATGAAGAAGACACATACATGTGAGTAGCTTGATTTTCCAATTGATTTGTTTACATTTGTTGGCTTTTCTCTTATTTAATTTAAATAATAACAACAACAACAACAACAACACTTTATCTGTATTCTCCCCTATCTCCCTGAGTGGATTCCATCATATATACAGACATAGGCAAATATTCAATGCCTTTGAAACGCAAATACACAGACAAAGGCAAAGGCTTCCCCTTTCATTTCCGGCTCTCCATTTCCAAGCTGAGGAGCCCGTGTTGTCCGTAGACACTTCCTGGCATGACTTCATGAGGCATGACTTCATAGGGCACCCTCTTACCTTCCCACCGGAGTGGTACCTATAGATCTACTCACATTTACTTGTTTTCGAACTGCTAGGTTGGCAGGAGCTGGGGCTGACAGCGGGAGCTCACCCCGTCTCGTGGATTCAAACTGCCAGCCTTCAGGTCGGCAAGCTCAGCAGCTATCCTCCTGAGGGGAGAGTTGATTCCAGCATATATACAGAGATAGGCAAACATTCAATGCCTTTGAAACATAAATACACAGACAAAGGCAAAGGCTTCCCCTTTCATTTCTGGCTCTCCATTTCCAAGTTGAGGAGCCCGTGTTGTCTGTTGACACCTCCTGGTCACGAAGCCGGTATGACTTTCATGAGGCACCCTCCTACCTTCCCATCGAGGCCGTGCCTATAGATCCACGCACATTTGCTTGTTTTCAAACTGCTAGGTTGGCAGGAGCTGGGGCTGACAGTGGGAGCTCACCCTGTCTCGTGGATTCAAACTGCCAACCTTCAGGTCAGCAAGCTCAGCAGCTATCTGCCTGAGGGGAGAGTGGATTCCAACATATATACAGAGATAGGCAAACGTTCAATGCATTTGAAACACAAAGAAACACAAATGCACAGGCAAAGGCAAAGGCTTCCCCTTTCATTTCCAGCTCTGAAGGCGGTGCTGATCTCCATTTCCAAGCTGAGGAGCCCGTGTTGTGCATAGACACCTTCTGGTCACGAAGTCGGCATGACTTCATGGAGGCACCATGAAACACATTGAAACGCAAACACACAGGCAAAGGCTTCCCCTTTCATTTCCGGCTCTGGAGGCGGCGCTCATCTCCTTTTCCAAGCTGAGGAGCCTGTGTTGTGCATAGACACCTCCTGGTCATGAAGCCGGCATGACTTCATGGAGGCACCATGAAACACATTGAAACACAAATACATAGGCAAAGGCTTCCCCTTTCATTTCTGGCTCTGGAAGCGGTGCTGATTTCCATTTCCAAGCTGAGGAGCCCGTGATGTCTATAGACACCTCCTGGTTATGAAGCCGGCATGACTTCATGGAGGCACCATGTAACACATTGAAACATGAATACACAGGCAAAGGCTTCCCCTTTCATTTCCGGCTCTAGAGGCGGTACTGCTCTCCATTTCCAAGCTGAGAAACCTGTGTTCTCCATAGACACCTCCTGGTTACGAAGCCGGCATGACTTCATGGAGGCTCCATGAAACACATTGAAACACAAACACACAGGCAAAGGCTTCCCCTTTCATTTCTGGCTCTGGAGGCTGTGCTCATCTCCATTTCCAAGCTGAGGAGCTCGTGTTGTCTATAGACACCTCCTGGTTATGAAACCGGCATGACTTCATGGAGGCACCATGAAACACATTGAAACACAAATACACAGGCAAAGGCTTCCCCTTTCATTTCCGGCTCTGGAAGCGGTGCTCATCTCTGACTCTGGGGTTGACGCTCGTCTCCATCTCCAAACCAAGGAACCGGCATTGTCCGTAGACACCTCCTGATCACATATCTGGCATGACTTGATGGGGCACCCTTTTACCTTTGCTAGGTTGGCAGGAGCTGGGGCTGACAACCCCACCCAACATTATCACTATTCATGGAAGTTCCATGGAGCTCGTCTTCTGGATTTTCCCTATTGCGTTGATGGACTTTGTGACTTGCTTGTTGGTGGCCATTTTGGCTCCTTATCTCAACCTACAAGACGCTAAACCATTTCCTCGTTGTCAACCCTGAACGTAATTCTGTTATTGTGAATGTAATGTTTCACCTTGAGGGCCTCCATGGGGTGAAGGTGGGTTTTGGGGTCGGGAGAGAGATCGAGATTTGCTCGCCTCGTATACGGTGCTCGGAACAATTTGCGTGCGATGCGACCCTGTTCTGCTGCCATTAGGCGTCATGGTTTTTTCTCCGCCTCGAGGCGATGCGGTCGGAATCAACAAAATGGACTACCTGGAAACGCCGTCCCACCTCGCAGGGGTGGGAGGGCCCCAATGAGAAATGTCAAGAGAGACAGTTGTGCCCATGTATGGTCTTCGATGGCGTGTGCCTTGACTCCGTCATTAACCAACATGGGGACCATACTCAAGAAATCGTAAACAGGCATCCGGATTGGTGGGAAGGTCTCAAATTGTGTCCTTGTTTTGTGCCGAGTTAACACAAACTGAGCTGGGGTACATCTCCACTGTGGAATTAATGCAGTTTGGCACTGCTTTGCAATCCTGGAAGTTGTAGTTTGGGGCAAGAACGTGGGCTTGGAGGCCACAAAAAATAAGGCCCAAGGATAACATATGTATAGAGCAGTGGTTCCCAACCTGTGGTCCGTGGACCACTGGTGTTCAGCAAGAACAAAAATATGGTCCACAGCCTCACCATTACCACACCGTTGCCTCGAAACCACGTGATCCCTGATCAAGTGGTCCCTGGTCAAAGTGGTCTCTGGTCAAGAGGTCCCTAATCAAAGTGGTTCCTGGTCAAGTGGTTCCTGGTCAAAGTGGTCCCTGGTCAAAGTGGTCCCCGGTCAGAGTGGTCTCTGGTCAAGTGGTCCCTGGTCAAAATGGTCCCTGGTTAAAGTTGTCTCTGGTTAAGTGCTCCCTGGTCAAGTGTTCCTTGGTCAAAGTGGTCCCTGGTCAAGTGGTCTCTGGTGAAAGTGGTCCCTGGTCTAGTGGTTCCTGGTCAAATGGTCCCTGGTCAGGTGGTCCCTGGTCAAAGTGGTCCTGGGTCAAGTGACCCCTGGTCAAAGTGGTCCCTGGTCAAAGTGGTACCTGGTCAGAGTGGTCCCTGGTCAAGTGTTCCCTGGTCAAGTGGTCTCTGGTGAAAGTGGTCCCTGGTCTAGTGGTTCCTGATCAAAGTGGTCCCTGGTCATAGTGGTCCCTTGTTAAAGAGGACCCTGGTCAAGTGGTCCCTAGTTGAGTGGTCCCTGGTCAAAGTAGTCCCTAGTCAAGTGGTCCCTGGTCAAGGGGTCCCTGGTCAAAGTGGTTCCTATTCAAGTGGTCTCTTGTCAAAGTGGTTCCTCTTCAAGTGGTCCCTGGTCAAGTGGTCCTTAGTCAAAGAGGTCCTTGGTCAAGTGGTCCCTGATCAAAGAGGTCCCTGGTCAAAGGGGTCCATGATCAAAGTGGTCCCTGGTCAAAGTGGTCCCTGTTCAATGTGGTCCATGATAAAAGTGATCCATGGTCAAGTTGTCCCTAGTTGAGTGGTCCCTGGTCAAAGTAGTCCCTAGTCAAGTGACCCTGGTCAAGTGGTCCCTGGTCAAAGTGGTTCCTATTCAAGTTGTCTCTGGTTAAGTGCTCCCTGGTCAAGTGTTCCTTGGTCAAAGTGGTCCCTGGTCAAGTGGTCTCTGGTGAAAGTGGTCCCTGGTCTAGTGGTTCCTGATCAAGTGGTCCCTGGTCAGGTGGTCCCTGGTCAAAGTGGTCCCTTGTCAAAGAGGTCCCTGGTCAAGTTGTCCCTAGTTGAGTGGTCCCTGGTCAAAGTAGTCCCTAGTCAAGTGACCCTGGTCAAGTGGTCCCTGCTCAAAGTGTTCCCTATTCAAGTGGTCTCTGGTCAGAGAGGTCCCTGGTCAAAGTGGTCTCTTCTCAAAGTAGTTCCTGGTCAAAGTGGTCCCTGTCAAAGTAGTCCCTGACCAAAAAATGGTTGGGAACCACTGATCTAGAAAAAAATTGAAAATTTCTGTCCACAAAAATAATACCCCACCTGAAGCTGCGTGTCCGATTCACTTTCTCAGAGTAGACCCCATGCTCCCTCCTTTGTGCAAGTGGAAACTTCTTTCTTTCTTGTGGTGCCTTTGTTCTCTTTCGTCTTTTGTGGGTTCGGAACTTTCCACCTTGTCGGTTTCCCTCTCCTTCTCCTCACTCCCTCCCTCCCGAAATACAGCAAAAGCTTCTCATTGGCTGGCGGGCACCTCCTTGTTCTTTGGGTGCTGTGTATCACCTGTGAGCCGGCATCCTTTTAGAAAGAGGGTGATCAGACGCAAACATTGGCACGTCCTCTGAAAACCGGACCACACTCTCCCAAATCTAATCTTTGGGGTCTCCATCCCATAAGGCACCGGAGTCATGAGAGGTATGTGGGGTAATTGGGAGAATTATGAATCTCTGGGTTTGGATTAAAAGGCAACTTCAGAGGTACAGTGTTGTGGACCATTTTGGGATCCCGTCTATGCCCCTGGCTTTTGGGATCCCGTCTATGCCCCTGGCTTTTGGGATCCCGTCTGTGCCCCTGGCTTCTCACTTCATGTGTTTGTGAAAATTGAGGATTTGCCCTATTATTGGCTTGTTGTATCAGAAACCAAGAACCGAACTCTTAGAATATGTTCTGCTTATATAAATTTGTATATACTCACAGATATCCGTTGGCTCTGTTTGGATATTTCCTCAGCCCCCGAAATTGAGGATTTACCCCGTTATTTCCTCTCCTGCTCCTTATATTTTTATCTAATCCCCATGTCTTATATACATTTATATAAATACTCCATTTGGGTATTTGCGGGACCCCATAAATTGAAATTTTGCCCCATTATTTCCTGTCTTATATATTATATTCTAAACCAGGAACCAAATTCTTGGGATCCATTCTGTCTTAATTCCGTTTCTATATGCTCGTGTTCGTATTTTTGCGGGACCCCAGAAATTGAAAATTTGCCCCGTTATTTGCTCTTCTACTCATTATATTATTTATTTATTTATTTATTTGCTGTATTTGTTGACCGCCGCTCTCAGCCC